CCTACTGCTATCTGCTCTACCTATGGTTTCACATTTCTTTCTACCTAAAGCTTTACCTTACCCTCAGTTTAGCTGCATATGTTGACAGATACCCTTTTCTGGTCACCTACAACTTCACTTTCCCATCTATTATTCTACTCTGCAAAATCTACCTGCATCTACAATTCCCTGGCTATACCATTTACTGGGCACCCAAGCTATTGCTTCAAGTTATCTACAGCTTTTCTTTCCCGCTTACCAACAAGTGTTCTTTCCTATCCATTCATAGTTTGGCATTAACATCTAAATATATTTAACTCACAATTTCATGTACAATACTCTGCTTTGTATATCTATCTGTGCCTTTATAATGTATCTACAGCTGTCAATTCCTTCTATCTACAGTTTTACCTGCATGTCCTTAACTCCACTTTATCATCTTCTACAACTGTACCTGCGCATCTATCTTTTATTCCTCTGTTTGACTTGCCAGAAACGTTCTCTCATCTATGTAGCACTATCTTTCCACAGCTTTTATTTCCTTTTACTTACCTGTCCATAACTTCATTCTCCCATTTATCTATATCTTCAATGTCTTCTCCTTATCAGTATCACTGTACCTATTCATCATCAGCTTCACTTTTCCTGTGTCTGTCATACTGTCCAGTCTAAATACATCCCCTCTTATCTGTCAATGTCATCACCACTTTGCTCATGGGAGGCAAACCTTTCTTTTTTGCCTATAGTCTTAATCTATCTAGATCTAACATTGTCATCTGCCTATATCTTTCTAGAAAGTATGTTTATTATCCTTTGCATGTAGCTTCATTAAATATATTGTATATCCAACACTACTGCATGTGTACCATCCTCTCTTTTCATATACTTTACTTATTTATTCCTTTGCATTGGCTTTCTCTGCCCTCTTTTCATATGCAGAAATGACTTTTTTTCTGTCTATGACCTCACTGTTTCCATCAGTTAACAAAACATTACTTCAATTCTGTTCTGTCCTTAATATCTATCTAGATATTTCCTATGTTGTGATCTATCTCTGCTTCCACTGCCCCCTCAATCTTCTCTAACTGGACAATAGCTTTGGTGTATTTGTCATCTACCTAGAAACTCTTCCCCATCTGCTCAGCTGCACTTGTCCTTAGAAATCCCTTCCAGTCTAATATTCTCTTGAACCTATCTCTGTCACCTAACTAGAAGTACATTTCAGTTCTACCTATAGCTTTAATGTCTTTTTAATCTAGAAAGTTTCTTCTCTGGTCTACCTCCTCATTTGTTTCCTTTGTATTTATCTATAAATCTAACCCCCTTCATCTTCAGTCTCTATCCCTTGAACCCTTTACTTGAATATTCCCTATCGTCTATCTACATTGTTCCTCTTAATATTTGTCCTATCATATTCCTATTCTGTATAGTTATCTGGAAATGTATTTCCCTCTACCATTGCTGTCGCTTGAATCTATGTAAAGCAAAAGCTTCTCATCTCATTCTGCATGTTTTCTATATTTACCTTATTCTTATTCATCTCTTCTGCCTGTCTTTGGTATATCTTGTTCATCGCTGCCTTTATTTCCTCTTCTTATCTGCTTATTTTATCCACCTCTCATTTTCCTACCTTTCTTACACCTCTCATTTTTTTGTCTGTCCAATGACTCTCATCTTCATTCTTTCATACTGTTCTCATCCTCCTTTCTTTCTTCTTCAATTAATTTGTCTGTCATTCCTCTCACTGTTGTCTTTCTAGCTTTTCTATTCACTTCAACTACATATCCTTTCAAAGAGTTTCAGGAATGTTTTGGAGTCATTAGAGGAGTCAAACTGATGATGGTTTTTGACCACAGTGGCAAGAAATCTTGTTGGAGCAGGATGGAATTTTTTTTTAGAACAGATTTCATGCAGTGTATGTGGTTTTCTTTTGGGAATATACATTCATTCCAAAATCAAATGTTAAAAGCGTACAAAATTTTGAAGAACTTTTGAATGCCACTCATCAAGTCATCAACTTATGGGAATTTTTGTATGTACATCTACTAGTACTTAACTCTTATCCTTTATGCCTCTCATCGGTATGCTTTCTTTTGAATGCTTTCGTCATCATCTCAAGTCTCTGTTTCCTCACTTTCCTACCTTTCCTGTACCTATTATCCATATGCTTTACCTCACCTTTCAGTTGTCTCTCTCTTTACCTTCCTTCTTTTCTTTTACCTCTCAATTGTCATCAGTATGCTTTCTGCTCTGAAAAACCTCACCACCTCTCCTATACCTCTTATTGGTATACTTTTCCACTCCCTTTTCTGTCTCTTTCCTTACTTCCTCACCTTCCCATATTTCTTATACAGTACTTCCTAACATCATGTGCTTCCATTCCTTCTTATTTGTCCCTTTCCTTGTCCTCTTATCATTCCAGCTTTCTTATTCTTCATATCCTCTGACCCTGTTTTCATGTATATAGGGCTCTCTTCTTATGTAACCAGCATTCACCTCTACCATCTCTATCTTCTACTAGATTGGGATATCACCCTATTCTATCTATGCCAACACCGTCCCCTGCAGCTATCTAGATTTTCCACTGTCTTTTTCTACAATAGCTCCTGTCCCTATAATATATCTTAAAATTAAAATCTTTTGTCTAGAACTTCTTCTGAACTTGTACCTGTACTGTCATATGCTTTTAAATTCTTCTTTTTCTGGAAACATATTGCTCTCTATCTGTAAAACTTCATCATCCCCTGCATCTAGATTTTACGTTCTGTATATCCCACCTTTATCTCTAACATAATGTAAACTCTTTTAAGCCAGCCATAGATGGATCAAATCTTGACCAGTTCAGCAGGGACATGCTGAGATTCAATCCATATATGGGAAGGCTGGTTGTACTGATGTCGATCCATCAATCGACTTCAGTACAACCAGCCTGAAGAGTTTTTTCTTTCATGTGATCACTGCTGGTGGCTATAGCTGCCAGCAGTGATCATTGTGTTCTTCTGACCTGGAAGGCTCCATGCTGGAATAATACTATAACACTGCAGGAGGGATTCCCCAATCAACACTGACTGTGTTGATTGGGGAATCAAGCCATATTCTTTACTTCCACCCATGGTAGAAGGAAAGAAAATTGCATAATCTATGGACTGCTTTAGTATTTTGTTTTTCTGTATTATCTACATTGGTATCAGCTAAATGTAATCTAACTGATCAGCTACCTAGAATATCATCCTTGTAGATCAATATCCATATAATTTTTTATGGAAAGCTGTTTGCTCAAGGTATATTTGTTACGTGTGAACAGCTCCTGAACTTTACATGCAGTTCCCTTAAGATATTGGCTGTGTCATATACTATCCCTGTCTGACTGTACTATAGGGTGATGAGCCAGAAATTATACATAAACTTGTCACTTTTTACCTATCTCTATTTCAATGATCTAACCAATGATAGCTTATGTATGTCACCCTTCTACCAATAGCTTAAATGATTCAACTCACTCTGCCTTACTGCATATCTTATCTACCTATATATTCATTCCCCTACTAAAATGCTTACAGCATTATTTTATATGCCATATATTTATACATTGTCCTGTTTATGTACCTTTTGCCCCATTCTGCAACTCATCTGCTTACAGCTTCATTTCCCTCTTTTCTACTTACAGCCTCCATTTAAACTACATATGTCCCTTTATAGCAACATATTTAACTATAGCTTCCATGTACTTAACTACCTACAGCTTTATTCTGCCTTATCTGCCTATAGCTTCACTATAGCTTTAATATCAAATCTATCTACTTACGGTTGAATGAATCATTCTGTAAACTCAGTTTTATTTTATATCACATCTGCTTCCAGGCTTATTCTACATTTCATCTACAGATGACTTTCCTATTTTGTCCGTATACCTGTTCCTTTGTTCATTCCCTTTTATCTTACCAAGGTCTATAATTTTGTGTTCTTTCCTTTATCTGTACCCTTTCCCTTTTTCGCCTTCAGAATTCACACTTTACCACATTCCATTGTGTCTCTGGATGAAGATATAACATCTGTTTTTTTCCCCCCATTAACGAACCATTTGATTGACTGTGGATTGAGTTTTTTTCCCTCTAACTTTTTGCATTCTGTTTATCAAGAAAACTATGGCACGGGGTCATGAGGGCATATTTATATCCAGTCATTTATGATCCATAATATGGATATCAATCAATTGAAACTAATACAGAGTGTATATAAATATTTTCCTTATATGTATAGAACTGGCAACTCAGAAAAAAATGTAAATATTCATTGCCTTTTCTATAAGATTAAAGTACCACTAAAGGGCAGCTCAATGCAACTTCAACAAAGTGGATTTGTGAAGTTAGGGGAAGAGGCATTACATAACATGAATAAATTATACCATTCTCTGTCTTATTTATATGATTTTCCCCTTTATAGCAATAGTCAGAGAGACATTTAACCCTGTGTGGCTGTACCCCTGTCTCCATATTAGACCTTAAAGGTTTTGAGGGAAAACTCCATAAAATGGAGGCGTAGAGCAGGAATTCAGGTGCTTCATGCATTAAAGGTGTTGGGACAATCAGGCGAGTAACATTTACAAAAAGCACCTTAGATTGTACACTCCTTGATGTGAATGTAGAATATATATGTAAAGCGCTGCAAAAATTGACAGTGCTATATAAGTACCTGAAATAAATAAATAAAGCACTCAAAAGTCTTTCCCCTTTGCACAGATCCACAGGTAGGGGAGTTTCATTGAGTTGTCCTTCAAGGAACGGGTCTTCTGAATGAGTACTACTGTGCCAGATTATCCTCAGGCTGCCTGTATTACAAATGGTTTAGTGTAGAGATACTTATCCTCTGACAGTTCTGACCATAGTACTGTTATTCTGCTGTCCATGGGGATTTAGTATTAAGGAAAAGTGGTTTCACATATAAGACAATAAAGTAAACTGTGGGACAATCTTACCTGAACCCTCTGTCTAAAATTGTCTCCAGGTTGGTTAATTGTTACCATGCACTTCCCTTTCCTACCCCCTCTGTTATATATTGAATTCTCAATTATATTTTTTTCATCTCTCCTTGTTCAATGTATGATTGAAGAAGAGAAGCCAAAACCAAAGTAAGTGGCATTTCTTGAATCCATTGTGTGCTTGCATACTCACACACCCACACATTCTCTGCTGTGTCCAGCAAATGTTTCACATTGCACAAAGCATTCTTATACCATGCAGTATATAATTTATCAAACATGCTACAAATGCAGAGACTGATGACTGCCTTATGTCACATTCAGGATTGTCTGCATAGTATTGCATGTGGAGATAACAGCTGTTCTCTGTAGGAGGCAGTGATGTATATAGGTGCATCATCCATTATCATGGAAGAGGTGTTTTACTAAAGGCAAATTGCTGTGCACTTTGCAAGGGAATTTTTCCTTGCCTTAATAAATGAGGTGATGCTCTCCTAGCTTCCATCATCTATTCATGTCTAAGCAAAATAATTTTCTTTTTAAATTTCCTTGCACATGCTTGAGTATTCTTTGCAAAGTGAATTTTTGCCTCATTCACTAAACTAAGAGAAAATGCCCTTGCAACGTGAACAGCCCATTTGTCTTTAGTAAATCAACCCCTCTAAAGTCTAGCAAATTATATTTAAAAATTGCTTGCTTTTCACTCTTCAATAACTGCTAACCAAAAATAGAGAAAATGTTCAGGTCCACTCAGTGGCTAGATGATATTTTAAGTAACGGCTAATTAAAATTGTTTAAAACAGGGGTTACAATTTTGAGTCCAGACCTTCTAGCCGGTCACAAAACTTACTCTCCACCAGTTGCGCCACCCAACCTTGCCCAGGTCTGCCCCCACCCCCGCCCGCCCCAATCCCCACCTCTGCCCCGCCTCCAACCACACCCCCTTAAAGCTTATGAAATTACATTTTTCTTTAGAATAAAGAGTCCAAAATATAAAACTGTACTCAGTAATGTATATCCCAGCTCCCCTGTACTCCATTATAGTGATATGACATGTATACAGTAATGTATATCCCAGCTCCCCTGTACTCCATTATAGTGATATGACATGTACACAGTAATGTATATCCCAGCTCCCCTGTACTCCATTATAGTGATATGACATGTACTCAGTAATGTATATCCCAGCTCCCCTGTACTCCATTATAGTGATATGACATGTACACAGTAATGTATATCCCAGCTCCCCTGTACTCCATTATAGTGATATGACATGTACACAGTATGTATATCCCAGCTCCCCTGTACTCCATTATAGTGATGTGACATGTATACAGTAATGTATATCCCAGCTCCCCTGTACTACTCCATTATAGTGATGTGACATGTATACAGTAATGTATATCCCCCTCCCCTGTACTCCATTATAGTGATATGACGTGTATACAGTATGTATATCCCAGCTCCCCTGTACTCCATTATAGTGATATGACGTGTATACAGTAATGTATACAGTATATCCCAGCTCCCCTGTACTCCATTGTAGTGATATGACCTGTATACAGTAATGTATACCCAGCTCCCCTGTACTCCATTATAGTGATATGACATGTATACAGTAATGTATATCCCAGCTCCCCTGTACTTCATTATAGTGATATGACATGTATACAGTAATGTATATCCAAGCTCCCCTGTACTCCATTATAGTGATATGACATGTATACAGTAATGTATATCCCCCTCCCCTGTACTCCATTATAGTGATATGACGTGTATACAGTAATGTATATCCCAGCTCCCCCTGTACTCCATTATAGTGATATGACATGTACACAGTAATGAATATCCCAGCTCCCCTGTACTCCATTATAGTGATATGACATGTATACAGTAATGTATATCCCAGCTCCCCTGTACTCCATTATAGTGATATGACATGTACACAGTAATGTATATCCCAGCTCCCCTGTACTCCATTATAGTGATATGACATGTACACAGTAATGTATATCCCAGCTCCCCTGTACTCCATTATAGTGATATGACATGTACACAGTAATGTATATCCCAGCTCCCCTGTACTCCATTGTAGTGATATGACATGTATACAGTAATGTATATCCAAGCTCCCCTGTACTCCATTATAGTGATATGACATGTACACAGTAATGTATATCCCAGCTCCCCTGTACTCCATTATATTGATGTGACATGTATACAGTAATGTATATCCCCCTCCCCTGTACTCCATTATAGTGATATGATGTGTATACAGTATGTATATCCCAGCTCCCCGGTACTCCATTATAGTGATATGATGTGTATACAGTATGTATATCCCAGCTCCCCTGTACTCCATTATAGTGATATGACGTGTATACAGTAATGTATATATCCCCCTCCCCTGTACTCCATTATAGTGATATGACATGTATACAGTAATGTATATCCCAGCTCCCCTGTACTCCATTGTAGTGATATGACCTGTATACAGTAATGTATACCCAGCTCCCCTGTACTCCATTATAGTGATATGACATGTATACAGTAATGTATATCCAAGCTCCCCTGTACTCCATTATAGTGATATGACATGTATACAGTAATGTATATCCAAGCTCCCCTGTACTCCATTATAGTGATATGTACATGTATACAGTAATGTATATCCCCCTCCCCTGTACTCCATTATAGTGATATGACGTGTATACAGTAATGTATATCCCAGCTCCCCTGTACTCCATTATAGTGATATGACATGTACACAGTAATGAATATCCCAGCTCCCCTGTACTCCATTATAGTGATATGACATGTATACAGTAATGTATATCCCAGCTCCCCTGTACTCCATTTATAGTGATATGACGTGTACACAGTAATGTATATCCCAGCTCCCCTGTACTCCATTATAGTGATATGACATGTATACAGTAATGTATATCCCAGCTCCCCTGTACCCCATTATAGCGATATGACATGTATACAGTACGTATATCCCAGCTGCCCTGTACTCCATTATAGTGATATGATATGTTGTATACAGTACTTATTCCTAGTCCCTCCAAGTCCCCCGTGGAGGTGGAGAGGGTGTCTCCTCTCAGCGGAGGAGAGAGTGGACCTCTCCTGCACCTGTCCCCTCAGCGGCAGTGCCACAGAAGCCGGAAACCAGAAGTTGTAAACCGGAACTCGGCTTCACAATGAGGCTTGGAGCACAGGTGCAGCCGCTCCATGCTTCATCTGTGCTCACTGCTCGCCGCTCACCACAGAGGAAGTTCTCCTTGCATTTGGCGAGCGGGCAAGTGGCTTTTTCAAGCCCTGGTTTAAAATCTCCATAAGAAAGGATTGTATTGTACAGTAGATCAGTATTAGGACATGCCTCAGGACCAATAAAAAGGCAAGGGGCAGACCCTATCGGAGGAGAGCCCCCAGCAATAAGAAAGATTGGACAGCTATCTATGTATATGTATGTATAAAGAATAAAGCCAGCCATACATCTTACAATCTGATTATACAATCGCTATACAATTTCTTATAGAGTTCTCAAATTTGTGTAAAATGAGGGATTATAAGTAAACAAGGCCCTTGTTCCAAATCGTTGTTGCTAAATCTAAAAAAAAAAAAAAAAAAAAAAGATTATAAAATCTGTTTGTAATGTGCATGGCCAGCATAAGTTCACCAGTGCTCCACAAAGATTCTTGTTTGACAACCAAATTTGTATGTGTAAGTTGATAAACAATATTTACATGTTTCTGTTGTTACTTTAAAACAGGGGTCTCCAAACTTTTCAAACAAAGGGCCAATATACGGTCCTTCAGACTTTGGGAGGGTCAGACTAGGGCTAGTGAGTGTAGAAAATGACCTGGCCCCAGAATCAGTGAGAATAAACATGGCCTTAGGGTTGATGGTCAGTAGGAGTAGTGCCCCATCATTGGTATTAGTGGGAAGAATAGTACACCATCATTGGTCTCAATGGAAGAAGTGCTGCCCCATTGTTGGTCTCAGTGGAAGGAATAGTGCCCCAAGGGCCAGATAAAGGGTAGCAAATGGCTATATCCAGCCCTCGTGCCGCAGTTTGGAGACCCCTTGCTTTCAAAAATCAGAACGAAGAGCAATAATAATGTGCAAAGAGCAGAAACATTTAGTAGCCAATCAAACTGCATAGAGCTTTAGTCAAAATGGTAAACGATAGCAATCAACACTTAATGCTGTGTATTTGTGTTGCAGACTCACAGCACCTAAAATCCCAGAAGGAGAGAAAGTAGACTTTGATGTAAGTACACTAAGAAAATAAAAGGGAGAGTCCCAAAATGATAGTTACCATACTTTTCCTACTAAAGGCAGATGGTCATTGCCTCAAAATTGGCAAACCATTATGTAATAGATAAATCCAGGCAAACTTGATGGAGCAGTCCACGTCAACTTGCTGAAATGCGGGACCACAAGAAGTAGAAAATCAGGCGCTGATCTCAGACGTCTGCCACACTGGGATTTTCATGTTCTGGAAGGGGAACACAGCACTGTGTTAATATTATTCTGATCTATACTTGTATTTTGGTCTGCAGGATATCCAGAAGAAAAGACAGAACAAGGACTTGATTGAGCTGCAGTCACTGATTGATCAACACTTTGAGGCTCGTAAGAAGGAAGAGGAAGAGCTTATTGCATTGAAGGACAGAATTGTAAGTTACATGCTTGTGACTGAAGTTCTGACAATGTTATCAAAGGCCTTAATTCTATCACCTGTATAACATTGTAGTTAGTCCATCATTAGTCTTTCCAGCATATGTGTTACAAATGTTAAAGCAACACATGTATTCTCTAATTTGTCCACAAGATGGCAGAGATTTCATAAATGTTTCTGTAAATGGAGCAATTCACAAAGCATTAACCACTTCAACTCCGGGCACTTCTACCTCCTTCCTGCCCAGGTCAGCTTTCAGCGCTGTCGCACTTTGAATGGCAATTGCGAGGTCATGCAACACTGTACCCATATAAAATGTTTATAATTTTTTTCACACAAATAGAGCTTTCTTTTGGTGGTATTTATTCACCACTGACTTTTTTATTTTTTGCTAAATAAAACAAAAAACACCTGAAACTTTTGAAAAAAAAACACACTTTTCTTCATTTCTGTTATAAAATTTTGCAAATAAATAACATTTCTTCATAAATTTAGGTAAAAATGTTTTCTGCTTCATTTCTTTGATGATAATAATAATAATAATAATAATAATTGAATTTGTATTTTTTTTCAAATGTTTCTATTATTTTGTTTATTTTTTATAAAATTTTTCCTTTTTTTTATACTATTTTATTTTTCAGCACACTGTGACCAAAGTATTACAATGTTACCATAGTAACATTGGACTACTCTGGCAAGTAATTAGGATTTTTTTTTAATACATTATAATTGCCAATACCAATGTATTTAATTGATATTTGCAATTATTGTTTCTGAATGAAACTGATTCATTCAGTCTTTTGTTGTGATTAGCTGTGATTAGGCAAAGCTGACCACAGGATACAGATGGGCTGTGATTGGTCCTGTCTGTATCATGTGACTGCCTTGACCAGTCACAGCTAACAACATAAGTGCATACAATGGATGGCATGACAGGAAGCCATCCATTGTATACAATTGACATGTGATCTGCTGTGATTGGTCACAGCAGTCACATGACACTGGCAAACGGGCCGGTTTAGTGATATGTCATCGGCTGTGTCCCGTGGACACAGCGAGTGACAGATCACGCCGCTGCGCAGCCCCACGACTGTGTAAGTAGCTTGTTTTAAAAGGATGTCATATAACGCCCAGTCACAACGGTGAGTGTCCCACCTGGCCGTCAATCTGTGTTAAAGAGTAACTCCACTTTTGCTGAGGAAACAAACCTTCCCCTCTGGGTGATCTATGTACATTGCAGTGATTTTAACTAACTTTGTTGCAGGATCCTACTGTTTATTATTCTGAAGAAATAGTTGTTTATTTGTCTGCGTCCATGTGCAGAGTAATCATGAATGGGAGCAATGTATAATTATTATTCAGTTGCTGCACTGGCAGGGTTCTAATGAGGAAAGTGGCAGGGTCAGCATCCTTTTAGATGTGATTTTGCTTTGGGAGTATCTGACCAAAAATGACATTTTTGTGCAGGGGGTGCCCAAAATATGCCTTGTATCTTAGTGCAGACTTTTGGGAAAACCAGGGAGCCAATCATACAAGCAGGAAGTTACATTTCAGGGGGGTGTCCTGCACACCATCTGTGTACAGAACGCCTCTAGGCTGCCACATTGCATTGCATTTTACAGAAAATTGCAGCGCTGCAGATTGAAAAGGAAAGTTAATTTTTAATAACATTCAATCACAATATGGCTTGTGTTGCAATGGTATATGCTATATTATTTTTTTTATTTGCTATATTTTTCCCACAAAAATGGAGTTACCCTTTAAAGCACAACTCCAGATAATATTCATTAGGCTTTATGCACACTGGACATTTTGGCAGCATTTTTTGCAGAAAGAACGCTTGACACTTGTAAACTCGTGTAAGGAATTTAAGCACGTCAATTAGGGCGTTAATTAATTTCACTGGCCGGAATAATGTTTTGTTCTGGCAACTGAAATTAATTTTTGCACAAGTACTAAACGTGCCTAGCGCTTTGGCACATTTACATGCGTTTAGGCACATCAAGCGTTTTTTCTGCAAAACTCTGCTGCTCCTGGACATACTGGCAGTGTTTCTTTTCTGCCTCTAAACTCCTCCAAATGCCTATTTGTGCACAGACATATAGGATAACATGCAGGGGCGTTTAGAGGCAGGAAATAAAAAAGTGCCAAAGGAGCCCTAGGAGCAGCAGAAAAAATATCCAGTGTACATGAGGCCTTAAGTTGTGGTGTAAAAAAGTTAGGTCTCATGAAGTGTATGCCACTTCAAGTATCAGTCATTTATTTAATGGTTACACCTTTATTCATATGGGATAGTACAGTGTTTCTCAAGCTTTTTTCAGTCAAGGCACCCTTTAAAATGATGGACAGTTCCGAGGCACCCTTTAGAATGATGGACAGTCTTGAGGCACCCCGTTCTAAAATAGGGTGCCTCAAGACTGTCCATAATTTTAAAAGAGCACCCCATTCTAACATGTGAAAAACTATTCTAATAGTTTTATATAACAAATCCACACATGTAGGACACCCAGCGTTAGAGGTGATTTACTCTTCCAAAGCCAATACACTTTTGAACCCTGGTACTGACTACTATTCCAATGTTTCTCTTCTCCTTCACTGAGCTAATGTGACCCCAGCACTGACAGAGAGGGGAAGGGGAGGGTCAAATTAAGATGGCGTGAAAACAGCTGACATCCTCCTTATCAACGAATGATGCCATTGGTTGTCAGGATGCCGGCGGCTAGAAGGCCGTAATGGTGCTCAATGAAAACCTGTGGCTTTGTGTAACTAGAAGGCAGACTTGTTCCACCCGCTGGCTTGTATACAAGTTTTGGGCAATTTGTAGACATTTTTCCAAGGCACCCCTGAAGAAACCTCAAGGCACCTCAGGGTGCCTGGTCATCCTGGTTGAGAAAGGCTAGGCTAGTATAGCTCTTGCTATACCTCCGGCTCGCTGCGGCTTTGGGTGTTCTCATCTGCAGAAACCACAGTGTCCTTTGTGCACCCCCTTCTCCCTTTGCATTCACAAAACATCTTGTTTTCTGAGAATGGTTCACAGAATACCCAGTCCATTGCTTGAGTATTTGCACATTTGTTCAGACCAGATAGCATTCACAGAAGGATACCTAAAGTGGAAAACAGCTCATGAGACCACACTTTTTTTTTTTTTTTTACACTGCAGATTTAAAAAAAATTAGACTTTTGCCTGGAGTTCTCCTTTATTACAAGGAGAGGGATCTTTATTTAGGCCATGTAACTGCTGTCACTTTCAAATCTCATAGCTCTCTGAAACTGTCACCTTTTTTTTTTAAACAAAACTGTATCCTGGTGTTGTGGCTTTGGGAATTAAACCTAATGTTACATAGTTAGTCTGGCTGAAAAAAGACAAAAGTCCATCCAGTTCAACCATTAAAAAAAAAAAAAAAAAAAAAAAAAAAAGGTTATAATCCTATACCCACAGTTGATCCAAAGGAAGGCAAAAAAACCCAGCAAAGCATGATGCAATTTGCTATTGCAGGGAAAAAAATTCCTTCCTGATCCCCCAATCGGATATTCCCTGGATCAACTTTACCTATAAATGTTAGTATCCAGTTATATTCTGTGTATCTAAGAAAGAATCCAGGACTTTTTTAAAGCAATCCACAGAGCTGGCCAGAACCAACTCTTGAGGGAGTCTATTCCACATTTTCACAGCTCTCACAGTCATAATGTCTGTATGAATGTACAGTAAATTTGCTGTGTTTGGTACAAGGGTTTCTGATCTCCCAATTTTCTTATGGTTTTCAGGAGAAACGCAGAACTGAGAGAGCTGACCAGCAAAGGACCAGAGCAGAGAAGGAGAAGGAACGTCAGAACAGACTTGCTGTGAGTATGCTCAGAAACTCTCAGTCACAATTGTATATCTTGTGTACCATATTCACACCTATTCATATAGTAGGCTCATAAGAATAATCATTCAGTGTCCAAATCATGCATGCCAGGATGGCCATCATTTGGTGTCTGTAAGCACCTTTACTGTGCAATGCATGCATGTAATACCACACAATACATTGGCACTTTATAAAATAAGGACTGATATTAAGTATTATTAATATCATTACATTTATGTATAAAGAGTAATAATTATACATGTTTTACATCATAAAAATATCACAAAATATATTGCAATTTTGGCATGTAGGGTGTACAATAATAATATTCTTGAACACTTCTGAATTGTATAAACACTGTATTGCTTTTAGAGTTTATTGTAAAAGCCTTAGAGTATATCCCCAATCATTATTATAATGCTGCTACAGGAGGAGAAGGCAAGAAGAGAGGAACAAGATGCCATGAGACGTGCTGAGGATGATATGAAGAAGAAGAAGGCTCTGTCTTCCATGGGAGCCACATACAGCAGCTACCTGGCCAAGGTGAGCAGGTCCACCATCTAAAGACAAAACAAGATATAGGGCTTGATTTACAAAAGTGTAAACATGTTTATTGCAATACTTTGAATATTTATGAATTAAAAAACACCGATTCTTATTTAGCATATATTGTAATAGGGTAATATCTATTGCAATACATCATCAAGCTGGCAAACTGCATCAAGATGATTCTTCTCTGGCTAGCTCCCTATCTACCTTTTTTTCCTAAAATTCTTGTGCACTTGACTGGATGTTTGAAGGACGCCAGTCCCAGTTTCCCTTCACACTTTATTAGATGAGGCCCAGACTGACTTGAGGCCTGGCTCACACTATTGTGGGTCTGCGAGTCTGCGTTTCATCAGAAAAAAAGGTTACTGCACCATTTTCAAAACACAGCGGCCAGTGGGAACATGCATATTACAATGTTCTTTGGTATCTACTGTACCTGTAATCATCCCTTATATTAAACACCCATCATCCCCTGCACACCATCTCAAATTTCAGATCTTGTTGGTGACAGGACTATCTACGCTAGCTTTAGAAAAGACAGAGAAAATGCAGAGCGCAAGGACTAACAGAAGTCATATCTGCACTCATTCCAATCCACTGCTGATATTAGTGTACTCTTCTATGGGCTGGGTGACTCAGAAGGTTAGACAGCCATACAGCACAGATTGGTACCCATCACTGGGACCAAGTCTGTTGCTGTTTAATGAACATTATCAAGAAATACCCCCATCAGCCTCCAAGAACAAAACATAACATTTGGGGGAGCAGCTGATAAAATGTTGAAAATCACTGATTTGGTAATGTTTCCTCTGTAGGCTGACCAGAAGAGAGGCAAGAAGCAAACAGCCCGTGAGCAGAAAAAGAAGATTCTGGCAGATCGTCGCAAGGCCTTGAATGTTGACCACATGAGTGAGGACAAACTCAGGTAAACATTGACGTTCAGGTGTCTTTGGACAATACTGGAATCTAGGGGAACAGCGAAAAATATATACAGTACATGAGAGAGATTTCACCTGCCAAAGGAATTGTATTTCATTAGTCCTGAGATTTACACAGCTCTGCCATACAGTACAACCCTCTAGTAGACCTCATTTTATTCTGCTGACTCAGTATGTCACTTGTTAGCACTTGAGAACTGCACAACCTATTGGCTCCTCATGGTGCCCTCACCTTCTTGCTGTCTGCTGTGAAGAAGATTGCAAGAGGCTAATACAATCAAAATTCTAAATACTTACACTGTTTGCATTACAACAAACATATGTCATGATGTGTTAATGAATACAGAGCTGCATTAATGTGTTTTGTTTTATGTCTGCTTGGAGTTAAGATATAAAACGTTTGTTCACCCAAAGTGGACATTTCAGTATTGGGTAAAAGCGAGTAGATAGAACCACCACACAGCTTTTTTTGTTGCTCCAGAAGTCCAGTGATAAGACTTTTGAGTTTTCAAATCCACCACACTTGTCTCACCCACTGTGATGGGCCTTGCTCAGTTTAAGTCTTCATTTATATTATAAGACAAAATCTACTGCAGAGGTTTTGACTTTCTAGCAACAGGGTACAGAGCTGGATACTCCATTTGAAAGATCTTTATACCAGAGTCTGCAAAAGATCCAAGAAGCCAGTGGGTAATTCCACCCAACTAAAACTAAAATAGTAATTTTGCCTGGATTAAACATTCATTTTTTTGCCTGGATCTGCAGCAATTTTGTATGTAAACTTATCTGACCTGTTGACTTTTCTGTAACAGGGACAAGGCTAAGGAGATGTGGGACTGGCTGTACGAGCTCGAGTCCGAGAAGTTTGAGATGGGAGAGAAGCTCAAGAAACAGAAATACGAGGTGAGTCCAATAAACAAATAAATTACGTCTAAAGTCAATGCACTGCCCCAGACAGATTTTACTTCTGTAGATAACAAGGATGAGGTTATAGTATTATTATAATATTAGTGACCAAATTTTTATATTATTACGGTCTGTAGGATCCTTTGTTTCTTTGATCATTCTAGACTGCAAGGCAGCTGTCCACAATATTATTTCTGATCAAGGCTATACCTACGCAAGTTATGAAATTACAACTCAAAAAATTACACATTAGTTTAAATTTGCTTTGTTGATAAAATTTGTAGGACTAAAAAAACTGGACAATTTCTTCATTTTGCCACACAAGCATGTTTTGTTGTTGCTATTATGTATCTCACAAAACAGCTGAAAACACACTACTGTGCAATATAATTAATAAGCACACTAGAAAAAATGACATGCACAATGGAAAACATCTGCAATGTCTAGTTTTCAGTCTGCCCCAGCTTTATTCATTAATGGAAAGGTATAGTGTAAATCAAGGAGTACATCTTTCAAATTTTTTTTTTGTGTTTAGTAAATTATGTGATGTTCACATTTGTACAGGTTTGTTTTACCATATTTTTGTTATTGTAGTAAATACAGAGATATTTAAATTAGCCAGCATTGTATTTGACTCATTTGAGTTCCCACTTAAAGCATATCTAAACCTTAAAGCAAACATTTCTTATATTGCAGTTTACCAGTCCTTAGATGTGGACTCTACATTAGTTTTTTTTAGTCTTTTTTCCTTCCAGTATGTCTGGCTCAAACAAACTATTTCCATTACATTACTATGTGCCCTTGTGTTTGCTATCATATTGCTGTAGCATTAGCATCATACAGTATAATGGCAAAGTGGGGGAAATTTACTAGAACCAGAGCATGAAAAATCTGGTTCAGTTCTGCATAGAAACCAATCAGCTTCCAGGTTTTATTGTCAAAGCTTAATTGAAAAAGATAAAGTTAGAAGCTGATTGCTTACCATGCACAGCTACATCAGATTCTGAGTGCACCAGTTTTAGTAAATCAACCTAAGTGTGTTCAAGAAGTATGGCTGACTTCCTGTCTGCTGGAACAAAACCATGTTAGTCCGAATGTTTATCTGTCATTCAGGAGAAGTCTTGTATTTTTAATGAACGAATAGAAGATCTCCTCTGATTGACTGAGGTGGAAATTGTGATTCCGTGGCTGGCACCTGTTGGTCAATTAGAAAGCATTCGGTGGCTGCCACTTATACTCTGTATAGAAAGTGTTTAGTGGCTGGCATCTATTTTGTACATTTATAACTTTAGAGGTGTAATTAAAAAACCCCAATATATGCGTAGCAGTGATGCATTTGTAGTGATAAATGTAGTCAAAGTAGAGGGCACAGCACTCTCTGCTGCTCTTCTATATATAAGAATTAGAGGTAATATAGAAGAGGCCAACACACATTATCCTACCAGGCACTTGCTTCCAGTATCCCATATTCACATGATTATCTTGGTTTTTCTTAGATTACGACCCTGCACAGGAGAGTAGAGGAACTCTCTAAGTTGTAAGTAGAGAAGCCTCTTACGAAGGAGGCTAACTCAACTGAACTGTCTGTTCAGGTGTGTGTCAGGGTAGCACTGAGTACGACCGGGCTTGGGGCTGAAGCAAAGGCTCCAGGAAAGTTCATGGATATGGCAAACCAGGACATCAGGACTACAAAAAGGTTCCATGTTTTAAGAGATGTTTCACTTCCTGTTGCATCATGATTATGTTATGATCCAAAATACATATACAGTATATGTGTAATACCCAAATTCGCTAATTTTAGTTTGTGTAAAAAAAAGAAGTTTGCATCAGGTGACAGAATACTACTGGTGGCTTACAGAATGTTCTTGTATATTAAGACAATTAGTTATGTGGCATGCTGCAGTGTCTTTACTTGGACACATTTGTAGTAAGAGATCCCACATTCTTGTGTATAATGTAATTATTCTGTACTAGAAAGTCCAGGCTAATTCTCAGATTTGTTGTAAATCATAAATAGTCTAAAAAATGCTTGGCAAACATTCAGAATAAGACTGCTGAACACGTTAGATTGTTGATTGTTAAGATATGCAACCATTGAATGACCTATTTTATTACCAATACCACAATCAACTTTTTGATGGCACATTCTGTGAAGTACAAATGCAAACCATGGTATACTCATCATCATTTGTCTACCAAACCAATTGGGATCTTGTAATTCTTATATATATATATATATATATATATATATATATATATATATATATATATAATAGAAAGCTTTTCAAAATAAGTACCAACAATACTGACTTATCTACCCATCATGTGATGATTTAGTACAGAGCCAGAGTAACTTGTAAATTTCTTTATTGGATAAACTTGTAGTCTTGATGTCCTTTGATCCCACTGTTGTTGGATTATGATTAGAGTAGTTGTGCCTCTGCTACATATCCCAGCCCGGGTGTTAAGTAAAGGTAAGTAGCTGTGTGTCTGGGTACATGCCTAGAGGTATCTGTGTGTGTACAGGTCACTAGACACTCTGCCACTCCTATCTTGCCTATATGGATCTCCACCCTGGTGAGAGGGTGCCAGGTAACAGCATTCCAAAAAGCGGCCTGAGGAACCTCTGACAAAGTATCATGGTGTTGGAGGTAAGGAATCGTGAAGGACTCTCCAGCATAAATGGGTTGTGTGTTGTTTTAACAGGTTACTACCCTCAGGAACCGTATTGATCAGCTGCAGAAACAGTAAGTAATGCTAGATACAACAGCCTTGCCCCAATCCCAGCCTGCATTTTATCCCCAATCAACTGAAATATGAGGTTCAGAATATTTTTCTAAATTTAAATTCATTTCTAACCTACTGATTAAAAAAAAAAAAAAAAAAAAATTTGAAAACCAGTAGCCCCTTAAAATCAACACTGCATGGATTCTGGTAGGACTGCCCGTGTTTATAATAAACTATTTGTATTTTCTCAAAAATACAATTTATCCCAAACAACCAAGATCACAACGACTAATACATCTACAGTATTTTCACCCTTCGGTACAATTCCCTTCCATATTTCTCCAATTTCAATTAACAGCTTGTTAAATCTAGGACTGCTGCACATTTGGTGGAGACAGCCGTTTTATGAATTGAAGCAGCCATTTTGTGACCGCAATTCCTAATGAAATCGATTCCCTGCATCCTCACAAATTTTGCTTTAGCTTACAAAATGGCTACCAGACCAGTGTGTACGTTACGGTGTCATAAAGGAAATTTGTAAATATATACCAGTTCTACTCAACCCTCTTTTGTGCTAACCCAATTTAAGCACTTTAAAGCATTAAAACCAATGCCTAGTGACAATGTAATGCAATATAACTGCATAACTTGGACCTATGATGCCTTGCAAATATCACCTAACAACTATGCTCAGCCCAGCCTAGCCACAAGTGTACTGGTCACGAATACGCAGCAGAGACTTGACTATCAATTCAGAAAACACAGTATATAAGACTACTTGTTCAGCTCGTAATTTGACAGCCTTCAGAGTGAACGGGTGACCCGAACACTTGTGTCAAGTCTCACCTAGGCTTGATGACTGACCTACCTAGTTATGAGATGATGTGTGCCCTCACAAGTACCTTAGATATCACTGGTCTTGAGAGATATCACAGGCTGAATAGGACACCACTTCTTCACTTGATATCTCTAGCTTACCATGATATCTCCAGTCTAACCCTGAGCAGTAACAAGTAAGTAAACTAACCCCCTGCTGACCCTGGTGTGTCAGGTACAGTATATAAGGAGCACACTGCGGTTCTGTCAGCACATACAAGACCGGAGTCTCTTCACGGCCTCCATTATACTACAGTAACTCTGGTTTTACCCAAGCCTGATGTTGGCCTTTACGATTGTGATGGCAGAATGGTAGCAGTGTGTGTTTGAGACATATATGCATGATAATCTGAAGGGAAGTGCAGCATGTGGGAGAAAATGTACAGTCTCTCCCAAACTAACCTGACAACATGGTAAGTGACACTGCTTGTTTGTGTGTAAATGGGGGAAACTAGCAGGACCATTAAACCCAACAAGTGGCTCATATAAAGAAGCGAATTATAACATTTCTGGCTACTTTCATACCTAGCAAAATGTCACACTCTATTGACATATGATCGCTTGTTAAGTCCATCCAGTTGTATTAAGTTAGCCATGTTAGGCTTTGTTTGAAGCCCACTACATTGATTTCCAATGAATTTACCAGAAAGGAAATCAGATGACCATGTTAAATCCCACCTGTAATGATGATAATTACAAACATTTAGACTTCCAATATTTGGAACTTTCAGGAAGACAGCTGAAAAATGTTATTATTCTTTTACATAAGCCAGCTTGTTTCATAGCATTGGTTTAATGGCCTGCAATACCAACAGTATTGTTTCTCATTCTTCTCTATTTCTGTTTTTGTCCTCCTTCACCATCTTTTGTATTCTCTCTTTACCTGCCTTAAAGTTGAACTGAACTAAAAGAGTAGAGGTTTGCTATGTTGTAGGAAAAAAGTAGAAATTGTAACTATGCCTAATCAATGCCCTGAAAAAATGTACTTTTGGTCTAAAATTCCCCCCTAAAAATTGCAGTGTATTTCCTGGTAAACAAAGGTGCCTTGGCATCCCTGTACCCACACAGCCTCATATCTGTAATGTGAGATCTAACGCACTGTTGCCTCTGATTGATACTCTTGACAGATTTGGAGTGAAATTTGGTTAAATCACTACTTTGCTGTTCTCTGTTCTCCTTGCTGGAGGCTCTGACATGAGAAAGCAATACCCTGTTTCTACCAAGATGGCCTCTTCCATACAGAGACACAGTGAAGAACAAGGCATGGTAGGTCAGTACGGGCAGATCCTGAGCTACAAACATCCAAATTACATATGATTTGGAATGGAGAACGGAGGAAGTGGGGCATCAGGATGGTCCTGGAAACTACTAGGAGGCCACCTTGCTGCTCACTGCATGCTGCCACCTACTTTCCAGTGGACCTGCCAGCAATCCTACATCACTCCATGGTCAGTTAACCCTTCCCTATGTTATCCAAAACATAAAAATATTTTTTTTGGCTGGTGTTACACTTAAAAAACGCACTTGTTCCAACTTGCATACAAATTCAACATACAAACTTACAGCGCCTATCTTGTTCGTAACCCGGGAACTGCCTGTAATGGAAAATGGCAAGCGGCAAGGAGACAACAGGCAATGCTATTGACTAGTCCTCTGCCCTCTACCCTGCTTATTTTTGGGCACAGCTTCCAGAGTTCAGTTCCTCTTTAACACATTTTCATAACACTAATGTTCCCTATGCCCGATTTTCTGTATCTGGTCTTTTCCTGTTCTTGTTGTGTATGTACTCTGTCCACTAACCCGTGCTTATTTATTCCCCATTACAGCAGCAAGAAAGCAGCTGGAGGAGGCAAAGGAAAAGTTGGGGGCCGCTGGAAGTAAACTGCTCCCAAACCAAGACCCGGCCGTGTCAGAGAGCAGCCCCCCTCCACCCACCTTTTACCATCCCCGATCCTGCAGGAAGCTGGCTACACTGAATGCCCCACAACATAGTTGTCCTGTCTATCCCTTCGGGCCACCTTTTTCTCTCTGTGGACTGCTCTGTATTATCTCTTCTCTTTTGTAAATAAAGTGTGACGCTTCTTACCCGAATAACATTCCTTGTACTTGTCACAAACACCCCACAGAAGAATGACAAATGCTGCTTACCATTAGATAAACACGTGACATTGTCATGGCCTGTGGGTCTTCATAGTTTTCTATGCTCAAAACCTGGTAACACTGAAGAACACAACAAGCTCTGTATGCCACTGTCAAGGATCTTTGGGGAGGGATACATGAAGAGAATCTCACGATTAAAGTGTATGTCATGCCAAAACCTTCTTTATCTAGTCTTGGATAGAGTGGGGAAGGTTTAATACTGGACTTCAGGTATGTTTTTTTTTATTACATAGTTACATTACTCCAGCTTTTACCAATGTAAATATATTGTACATATTCCATACCAGTGGGATTGCTATGGAAGAGGAGAATCACTTTAGTAGTTGCATCTGGTACAGTGATCTCTGTGGTCTTCCGGGTCCTGTACCAAGTATCTTTCCCACTGCATAGGAACCACAAGGGCTTGTTCCTTCAGCGGGGCCGCAAATTCACAGAATGCCTTGTATTTTTTTCAATGAATTTTGAGGTGTTCTCTGATAAGAGATTATGGAGAGGTGGGGTGTTGCTTTCACAATCTCCACTTCATCCAACCATTAAATGGCTTGTATTCATAGAAAAAAAAAATACAAGGCATTCTGTGAATGGTGGCCATGCCGAGTGAGCAACTTCATGTGTTCCCTATGCAGAAGGGCAGCCGCTTGGCACAGGACCCGGAAGACCGTGGTGATCACTGTAGTAGCACCAATTACAACAGCAATTCTCCATTTCCACAGTGGTCCCACAGGTACAGAATAAGTATTTACAATGGTCAAAGGCTGGCCCAACACAACAACGCCTACATTTACACCGAAGAGTCACATTTTCAAGCGTATTTTTCAAATGTTAACGAGTGTTTTTTTTAAACAGATCTGTACATTTTTGCAGCTTTTCTCAGGCTTTTTCAACTAAAAGGTGTGGAGTGCTGCTGAAAATGGGGCAGAGAATTACAGTTTGGGCAGAAAACGTGCAACAAAATGCTTGATAAAACGCTGGATAAAAGATCATGTCACGTTTTCAGGCGTTTCCTTTGAAGCCTATGTAGACAAAAAACTCAATTCACCTCAAAAGTTGCTCATGTACTTTTTTGAGCGACAGGCATTTTGCTACAAGCGACAGGGAGCTCAGATGTGAAAAAAGGCTACTGAAAACAATAGGTTTTTGCTTGTTGAGCGTTTTGAGCTTTGAGCTACAAAACGCTCAAGCGTCAACAAGGCCTTGAAAACCGTACCTGGAGTTCAGCTTTAAACCTCATGTCAGGTTTTTACTGCTATCCAGGGTTTTGTTGGAGAGATTTAACTTCACTTCCTCTTCTGCTGATATTGATTTCACCAGACAGGAAGTGAGGGAAAATCTGCAACAGTCACAAAGAAAGAAAGAAAAATCTGGCACAGGGTTCTAACGTTCCTATACTAAAGAAAAGCAAAAGCTGCTTATGCCACCTTTGGGGAGACTCCTCTCACTTTCTATTCTTTCTCGTCACCTGGGTAAGAAGACAGAGAAAATATCACCAATGGGGACACAACTATAAAACTCCAACAGAGGTCTTAATCCATTTTCACTCTACTAAAACTTGTTTTTATTGCTGTTTGTGACCCCCATTGAGCTGGTGAGCTTTAAAAAATATTATTATTATATTATACAGGATTTATATAGCGCCGACAGTTTGCTCAGTGCTTTACATTATAGCGGGAGACAATACAATAACAATACAGTTCAATACAAGAGGGTTTTGAGGGCCCTGCTCAGCACTGCAACCCACTGGCTGCATTCACTGATTGAGCGTAGATTTTCAAACAAGAAAAAAAAATACAATAAAAACTGCAGAACTGGAAAAAATAAAGATGACATTTTCCTACCCTTCATATTTTCTGTATTTCATAATTACATTTTAAAAAAAAAGTGTACACAGCTGGGCTTATCTGCTGAAGAAAGGAATCTGTTGGTTTCAGGAATCAGAAGTCAGGTTTCAGTGTGTTAGCACAGATTAGGGGAAAATGAAGATACTATAG